TTTTTTTTTTTTTTTTTTTTTTTTTTTTTTTTTTTTTTCCCCGCAATTCTCAAGCGGTCGTACCAGTGTCAATGCTGCCAAACCGCCGTTGCAGGGTGTTGCCTTTGTCGTGCTGTGAATGTAGGATGGCAACCAAAAAAAAACAGTTTCAAAGAACATAGCACTGTGGGACAATAGCATGCCAGACCAAAGGATAATACGAAAGCATTTGCCTAAGATTTTTTTTTATTTTTATTTTTTTAAAGCTTTTTTAAGCACCAGTACATGCCAGCTATTGGCCTCGGGCCCTTTTTTGGAGGGCGCCCGCCACCGATTCATTTTATCTTCGGCGCTCGGCCTTCTACATTTTCGGAGAGGCTCGAAACAGGATCTCCAGTTGCCTGGGGCCATGCATGTGCTGGTGGTTTTATGAATGAATGGGTTTGACAAATGCTTAACTATGCTATACTCTGCTTTGCTATGTCCCTCTGTGCTATGTTGTGCTATGTTGTGCTATGCTTCACTTTGAGATTATATAGCACTCAAAGTCGATCGAGCAGGACTTGACATACTGACTGCTGTGTCAAGGCATAACACAACATAGCACAGCATAGCACAGCTGCATAGTACAGTTGGAGATAGCATAGTACAGTGGGGGGGGCGCACTACAGCTGGCTCATCATGGCACAACATAGCTAGCGACGAACACCGGCTAGATAGCTATGGCCCATGCATCATCGCGCTGATTTCACTTGAAACGTTGTGCAATTATTTGTCATGTTTTCCACCTCCGTTAAACGATGACGACATCTAAAGCGAAATCGCCAAACCTCTGTGTCCCCCTCCCTCCCCTGGGCGTCCAAACTCTCGTGCAGTCGGTCGTCAGTTTACCCATGAACAAAAAAAAAGAAAAAAAAAAGAAAAAAAGAAAAAAAGAATACATCTATAAAGCGAAATTGTTGAGTCGCTCCCAGCCCGTCCCCCTCCCTACCCTGGGCATCCAAGCTGTCGTGTGGTTAGGGTCCTATTATTCAGAGCCACCGTGTTAGTCAGTCTCTTCAGCTGGCCCGGTTCACAGGCCACGCCCCCTTCCTTGTGCATAGGCACAATCCTCAAAAATGTTGCATAGCAATTGCGGTTTTTAAATTCTGATGTTTTTTTTGTTTTTTAACTTTTATGAAGTTTTAAGTTTTAACTGTTTTATCTTTGCTTTTCGTGTGCAGGTAATCCCTTTTGCCACAGTGAGCACATACTCGCACACACTAACACATACCTAAATGTATCTGAATGGAATGATGGCCAGACCAGGATGCATATGACTGTAATCATGTCCAGAGATGAGTAGAAAAGGTCCTAGTGTGTTGTATATGTCCTGATAAGGATTGACTGTGTATGTCCTCTGTGCGTGTATCGTTGTGTATGTGTACATGTGTTGTCATGTTCTCCGTCCACACAGAAAAAAAAAGGCACGACTGTGCCGAACAGACTGTTTTGCCAAACTTTCACCGACGCATCAGGAGGTTGAACCGCGACAGTCTGCCGAGGATGCATTTCACTGATAGATAAGGACTCTCCACGTCGACCAGAGTTAGGGATACCCATCCTTGAGCGGAACGTGGTTGACTTTGCTCACACCAACTACCCTCTGTGTGTGTGAATGTTTGTGTGTGTATGTGAGTGCAGTGACACGGGAGACGGTGTGGAGCGTTGCGCACACTGTTATGGTAGCTTGGGCAGAATGCACTGTCCGCCGCGTAAACATCGTCGACAAGTATCTTGGACAATGGTCGGAAGAGATGATTGCCACCAAGGTTATCACGGCGGAGTCTAGGGTGGAGCAGATTAAATCCCACATCCTAATGAATTGACGAAACAGGTAGACATCAGCGACGTGCAACGACAAAATATCAAAGGCAAGCTGGACACAATCATTGTCGAGTGGTTAAAACTCAAAAACCACCAGTGCCTTTCGCCGGCTAAGGCTTTCGACAATTTGTATACGGCCACAAATTTTCAGATACTGGACGGAAATGGCTGGTGGTGCCAGGCACTGGTTTGTGTTTTCTTCTTCTTCTTCTTCTTCTTTTTTTTTTTTAATAGCTGTCTTCTCCTCATCGCGGGACAGCTATAGATATATATTTTCTCGCCTCGCGTATTCTGGCATGCAGGGGAAACCCGGGTCGGGAAAAAGCGCTCGCTAGGAGGTACTGGTGGTTTAGCAGAATCTTGTGTGAAACTAAAATAGATATTATAAATTATATAAATAATATAATGTTATCTCCTCTGGAATATTGTGGCATTGTGATTTGACTGTCCCGCTTTTCTAAGTTTTTTTGCACTTTTCTCTTTTTCCTTCTTGGGCAATGAAATAAGAAGGCAATAACGGAGCCTGATTCTGAATGAATACAAGCCATCTTTCTGGTTGAATGCAGTCATAATGGGGGTGCTTTGTGGTTTGGGAAAGATGGTAGATGTGAGTTTGATTGTTACTTCATGCCTGAACTGACTTTGTGCACGGTGGAAAGGAGGAGACAGGGGTGGTAGGAACATAAGGGGGAGGAGGGGAGGAGAGAGGGGCGGTAGGAACATAAGGGGGGGGGAGGGAGAGAGGGGTGGTCGAAATTTAACGATATTGAGGGCTTGAGGGCTTAACGCGGACTGGAAGTGGTCACCGGAACTGGAGGGGAGGAGAGAGGGGCGGTAGGAACATAAGGGGTAGACTTGGTAGGATTATTAGGGGGGTTGACCATGGGGGAGCGGAGGAGAGAGGGGTTTGTAGGATGTTGAGGGGGTTAAAGCGCTTAGCACAATGTGGAAACGACCACTGGAACTGAGGAGAGTAGAGAGGGGTGGTAGGAATACGAGGGAGGGGGTTGAGGTGTTAACCGCAAATCGTAGGGAAGGAGAGAGGGGTGGTAGGAATACGAGGGCAGGGGTTGAGCGCTTAACCGTAAAGTGCAAGTAGTCGCGGAAAATGTTTATTTTCCCTTCTGTGTGGTATTGAGATAGGGGATGGGGGATGCCCGCAGGAAAAGCAGAGAATGAATGACACGACTGAGAGGGTGGATGGAGATGAACGATACGATACGGTTCAACTTTATACATGCGTAGCTAATTGAGTGCTGATCAGTGACTGTCGATATATTTGCAGATTAATAAATGGCGATGATTATATGATGACGTTGTAGGTCGCTAGTCTCACCGCTGTGGTGGGGCCGTTGCGTCTTGTTTTTTTTTTTTTTTTTTTTGGCAATATGTTGCCTTTGTCGAGTCCACCTGGCACACAGGAAATTCCAGAACTGTAGATCTTTTGTCCTTTTTTTTTCCCTCAAAAATTCAAAATTCGAATTTGTCCTTTCCTTTTTCATGTCCTTGGTATGAGTTACTATGTATGAAGTTTCGCCACCGTCATTTTTTTTTTTGTTGTTTCCTGAACGGGTTTCTTTTATTTTTTCAAAAGAACTATTATCATTTCAAATTGAGCAGTGTGGCCATTGACCTTGCAACCAACTAGAAAGAACACATTTCTTTATTGAAAAAAAAAAAAAAAAAAAAAACCAGATTTCTTTTGTTGGCTGAATTTGGTTCTCTGTTCTTTTTCCTTTCTTTTTTCTTTCTCTTCTCTTTTGGTCCTCATCTTTCATGACAGGTGAACATCGTGTCTGCTGTTGACAGTTGTTTCTGACATTTATTTTCTGGCAGATATTCTCTGACAACTATTTTCTGACAGTTCATTTCTGACAGTTGTTTTCTGACAGTTCATTTCTGGCAGATATTCTCAAAGCCTTGGTTGTTTGAGAAACAACTGTGTTATGAACTTGGTTGTTTGACAATTCGATTGCCACTCACACACAGAAACACTCACACATGCCAATTCATGCATGAGAGAAAGGGGAGGAAGAGACAGAGTCCACCTGCACACAGACCAGAGATAAACAGCGGAATAGCAACCATGCACAGATGGGGAGAATACACAGTGTTCTCTCTCTCTGATAAACTCCCAACAACCAATCACCAGATGACACTGCGAAGATCACAATTGGATAGTAACCCAGATGATGAGCCAACTCAACACAGTTAACCTCGATTATCGTTACAGAGTTCAACCCAGTATCTCGCCACTCAAGTACCACACACTCCACTCACTACTACACTGTCAGAGTCTAGCGCTGCATCGAAACAGCCTCCCAGA